CACGAGTAGAAGCGAGGGCCCAAGTAGAAGCGAGGGCCCCCTGTAGAAGCGAGGGCCCCCTGTAGAAGTGAGGGCCCCTGTAGAAGCGAGGGCCCCCTGTAGAAGCGAGGGCCCCCTGTAGAAGAGAGGGCCCCCTGTAGAAGCGAGGGCCCCCTGTAGAAGCGAGGGCACGAGTAGAAGCGAGGGCCCCCTGTAGAAGAGAGGGCCCCCTGTAGAAGCGAGGGCCCCCTGTAGAAGCGAGGGCCCCCTGTAGAAGCGAGGGCCCCCTGTAGAAGCGAGGGCACGAGTAGAAGCGAGGGCCCCCTGTAGAAGCGAGGGCCCCCTGTAGAAGCGAGGGCCCCTGTAGAAGCGAGGGCCCCAGTAGAACAGAAGGCCCCCTGCAGAAGCGAGGGCACGAGTAGAAGCGAAAGCTCCATGGCCGACACCATGTGTTTCTGTGGGGCACCATTTCTCCTGTAACACCGGAACTTGGCCCCACCCCTCCTGCCAGCACTCGACAGAGCTCCGTTAATGCAGGAGATTGAGAACAGCTGTGAGGGGGGAGGGGGGTAAGACTCGGGGGTTTCGCACATGTGTGAGCATCTAAAACAGGTGAGTGGCACACCTGCGGGCACGGATATCACGTGACGGGTACACGAAGAATAAATTGTTTGCTTAGGGAAACGTCTAGGTGGTCAATCACTACAGCACACGTCAATGACATGTCTGCATGACAGATGACAAGACCTGTATGACAAATGACATGACCAGCAAGACATACTGAACTGAGGACTTAGTGGTAAGGAAATGACAAACTCAGTTATGACGGATAAAGTAACCATAAATGGACATGAGGTTGTGCGCTGGTCGATATCATCTTGTGATGTCATCACCCACAGCGTCATACAGGTGTTCAAACACAGGTACAAAACCTGTCTCAGCAGATGAGCCAGGCCTTGAACTGATTGAAAAATCCTTTGCAAGATGTTGTGTCGCCCCCCCCCCCCCCCTGACCCAGATCTGACCATCTGGTGACAACATTTGTTGGTCGAAACCCATGTGTCTAGACGACACCGGAAGTAGAAAACTAGACCACAACAAGCGGCCACTTCCTGTATTGGGGGGGGGGTCATGATGTTACAGGCTTTGATTTTAACAGCTTTGGTATAACGTTGAGGGCGCCAAAGCAAGCGTTAGATAACGGGTTGAGATTGGCGCCGGACATTTGAATGTCCGAGGCGTAGGCTATGCCAACAGCACCGTGACCGTATCAACATCACGTGACTACATCAACAGCACCGTGATCGTGTCAACATCAACAGCACCGTGATCATGTCAACATGACGTGACAACATCAACAGCACCGTGATCGTGTCAACACCACGTGACTACATCAACAGCACCGTGATCGTATCAACATCACGTGACAACATCAACAGCACCGTGATCGTGTCAACACCACGTGACTACATCAACAGCACCGTGATCGTGACAACATCACGTGATCACACCAACAGGTGACTCAGTAGATGTGAATCTGTCGCCCATTTTGTGAAATTATCCAGGTGAGAGAGTTTAAGATCAGCGCGACACAAAATACATATCGAACACTCTCCCTTTGAATGACCGTTGGTCAACAGGACGTGACCATACAGAGAGCTGCACAGAACCGGGTCTCGTCTCTTTTAACTACCGACTAATTGAAAGTTGATATCGATTTTACCACGGCCTGTACTAAAAAATTTGCATCACAATGTGATTTACAAAGTGAGTGGGGCGAACACAGTCGGGCCGGTCAATAACATTGCTTGAAAAGTTGTCACCACCCCTCCCCACACTAGTGGGGCTGAGCAGTGGCGTCGCTGAGGTCTAGCCCCCCCCCCCCCCTTGTAAACATAGTTTCAGCGGGGTGTTTTGTATGATTATTCGGGGGTGTTTTGTATGATTATTCGGGGGTGTTTTGTATGATTATTCGGAGGTGTTTTGTATGATTATTCGGAGGTGTTTTGTATGATTATTCGACCAAGTGGTATAGGTCCCCTCTCCATTATCTGGGGTTAAACATAGACCCCCACTACACAGGGAACGATCGGAGACCCCAAACAGGGGTCAATATTAGACCCCCACCGAAGTCACTAGATAAAGCTAGTAAAACGGACACAATCACTAGATAAAGCTAGTAAAACGGACACTAGATAAAGCTAGTAAAACAGACACTAGATAAAGCTAGTAAAACGGACACTAGATAAAGCTAGTAAAACGGACACTATCACTAGATAAAGCTAGTAAAACGGACACTAGATAAAGCTAGTAAAACGGACACTAGATAAAGCTAGTAAAACGGACACTAGATAAAGCTAGTAAAACGGACACAATCACTAGATAAAGCTAGTAAAACGGACACTAGATAAAGCTAGTAAAACGGACACAATCACTAGATAAAGCTAGTAAAACGGACACAATCACTAGATAAAGCTAGTAAAACGGACACTAGATAAAACTAGTAAAACGGACACTAGATAAAGCTAGTAAAACGGACACAATCACTAGATAAAGCTAGTAAAACGGACACTAGATAAAGCTAGTAAAACGGACATTAGATAAAGCTAGTAAAACGGACACTTGATAAAGCTAGTAAAACGGACACTAGATAAAGCTAGTAAAACGGACACAATCACTGGATAAAGCCGGCAAACGACAACAATCATGAGCACAATTTCCGTGAGAAGACAAACCACAAGCCCGAATGTCCACAGACCAACAACTGAACGCACAGTGTGTCACTGTATGCACACCGTTCATATCGATTTGTCAGACTCACCCCCTCGCCCCGTTTTTAATTAAAAAACACGAATAAAACTGTTGGTGAGTACATAGGGGAGGTGGGGAGGGGAGGAGGGAAGCAAGGCATGCAAGGCACTGTGCCCTAGACTTAAAATGTTTGATAGTTGCTTCACAGGAGGAGCCATTTTAAATACATCAACACACTAATGACGTCATTCAATCTAGCGATACACCAATAACCATGACGTCATCAGCTAAACCAAACACAAAAACACATAAGTATCGACGCTCTTTGCAGACAAAGGACCTATGGATCACTTGTGGTCAACAAGCACGATTTAGTGTAAATGTAGGAAAGAGGAACAATAGTAGCATGGGACTTTGTGCACCTGGGGCGTTGGGGGACTTGGTTTACCTGGGGTGTTGGGGGGGGGGCGGACAATTTACCTGGGGCATTGAGGGGGGGGGGGCGGACAATTTACCTGAGGCGTTGAGGGACTTAGTTTACCTAGGGTGTTGGAGGGGGGGGGGGGGGACAATTTACCCGAGGCGTTGGGGGGACAATTTACCTGAGACGTAAGGGGGGGGGCAATTTACCTGAGGGGACTTAGTTTACCATAGGGATACTCAAGTGTCTCCAACATTTATCCGCTAAGTTAGTGGTCACCACACGAGCTTGAAGTGGTCACCACACGAGCTTGAAGTGGTCACCACACGAGCTTGAAGTGGTCACCACACGAGCTTGAAGTGGTCACCACACGAGCTTGAAGTGGTCACCACACGAGCTTGAAGTGGTCACCACACGAGCTTGAAGTGGTCACCACACGAGCTTGAAGTGGTCACCACACGAGCTTGAAGTGGTCACCACACGAGCTTGAAGTGGTCACCACACGAGCTTGAAGTGGTCACCACACGAGCTTGAAGTGGTCACCACACGAGCTTGAAGTGGTCACCACACGAGCTTGAAGTGGTCACCACACGAGCTTGAAGTGGTCACCACACGAGCTTGAAGTGGTCACCACACGAGCTTGAAGTGGTCACCACAAGAGCTTGAAGTGGTCACCACAAGAGCTTGAAGTGGTCACCACGAGAGCTAAGTTGGCCACCCTATGTCACCTGTACACGTTCTACTCATACCTCTACCAGTTCCGTCAAGCCAATTTTATTTCAGCATCAGAATTATTGAATTTTCTACCGCAAGCCAGTCGGGGCCCAGATAAGGGCCCGCATGTTGGTAGGTTGAACACTGAACACAGGACCTTTTTCTCAGAACACGCTCACACACAAGCTGTTGCATAGGCGTGTTGTACGCTGCTGGCAATCTAGGTCAAAGGTCACTGCCGCGCAGATTACATGACGTCAGTGTTACAGTAGATGGTCGGAGCTAGCCGCAACAAGGGGGGGGGGGGGTCAGATCTGGTCACATGGACGGAGGGGGGGGGGGTCAGAATAGTCCTAATAGAGGAGTGTTGTGGAGAGGTATGGGAGGGGTGTAGAGGTAGATGGGAGGGGTGTAGAGGTAGATGGGAGGTGTGTAGAGGTAGATGGTAGGGGTGTAGAGGTATGGGAGGGGTGTAGAGGTAGATGGGAGGGGTGTAGAGGTAGATGGGAGGTGTGTAGAGGTAGATGGTAGGGGTGTAGAGGTAGATGGGAGGGGTGTAGAGGTAGATGGGAGGGGTGTAGAGGTAGATGGGAGGGGTGTAGAGGTAGATGGGAGGGGTGTAGAGGTAGATGGGAGGGGTGTAGAGGTAGATGGGAGGGGTGTAGAGGTAGATGGGAGGGGTGTAGAGGTAGATGGGAGGTGTGTAGAGGTAGATGGTAGGGGTGTAGAGGTAGATGGGAGGGGTGTAGAGGTAGATGGGAGGGGTGTAGAGGTAGATGGGAGGGGTGTAGAGGTAGATGGTAGGGGTGTAGAGGTAGATGGGAGGGGTGTAGAGGTAGATGGGAGGGGTGTAGAGGTAGATGGGAGGGGTGTAGAGGTAGATGGTAGGGGTGTAGAGGTAGATGGGAGGGGTGTAGAGGTAGATGGGAGGGGTGTAGAGGTAGATGGGGGGGCCATGTCACAGGGGCGTTGTCACGTGGTGTAACCTGACATAAAGGTGACTTAACCAATTCAGAATAAAGGTGAGACTTGGGTCACCAAGTTATTGACCTTGTCATTCGCAGTAAGATCAAATAACTTACTGAGTAAAATAACTTACTGAGGTAAAACAACTTACTGAGGTAAAACAACTTACTGAATTGCTTTTTCTCCTTTTGGTTTCTGTAAACTTCTCACTGGACCGCCCACCTGTGGTACACAGATAAAGTACACAATGAACTAATGTAACCATGTACACAATAGACTAACCCAACCATGAACACACACCAATGTACACTCCAAAACAACACATCCATGTACACAAAGTACCATACATCCATGTACACACACACAAAGTACCATACATCCATGTACACACACAAAGTACCATACATTCATGTACACAAAGTACCATACATTCATGTACACACACACAAAGTACCATACATTCATGTACACACACACAAAGTACCATACATCCATGTACACATGAAGTACCATACATCCATGTACACAAAGTTACCATATATCCATGTCCTTACACAAAGTACCAAAGATCCATGTACACACAAAAAACCATACATCCATGTACACACACAAAGTACCATACATTCATGTACACAAAGTACCATACATTCATGTACACACACACAAAGTACCATTCATCCATGTACACATGAAGTACCATACATCCATGTACACACAAACAAAGTACCATACATCCATATACACACACACAAAGTACCATACATCCATGTACACACACAAAGTACCATAGATCAATGTAGACACACAATACCATTCATCCATGTACACATGAAGTACCATACATCCATGTACACACACACAAAGTACCATACATAAATGTAGACATGAAGTACCATACATCCATGTACACACACCCACCTCTAGCCGACTCTTCCACTGAACGTTTGAATGGGTAGTAGGGCGGACATGTTGGTTTGCCTCCACCAAGGGCGTCAGGTGACATTGAATTACCCATCATGCCCTGCAAGGTCAAAGGATATTTCATTTAGTTAACTTATTAGAAAATTATCTATTAGTTAAAATCTACATTTAAACACTATCTTGACAAAAGTTACCTAATTAATTAGACAGGTCTACACAGGTCAAGGTTCATTAGGAGCTTTAATGGAAGGTTAGGTCATGGAGGGTGGCTTCAATGGAAGGTTAGGTCATGGGGGGTGGCTTCAATGGAAGGTTAGGTCATGGAGGGGGTGGCTTCTATGGAAGGTTAGGTCATGGAGGGGGTGGCTTCTATGGAAGGTTAGGTCATTGAGGGGATTGCTTCAATGGAAGGTTAGGTCATGGAGGGGGTGGCTTCTATGGAAGGTTAGGTCATGGAGGGGTGGCTTCAATGGAAGGTTAGGTCATGGAAGGGGTGGCTTCAATAGAAGGTTGGGTCATGCGGCAGGGAGGAGGGGTGTTTAATGGAAGATAAGGTCATTGGGGGAGGCAGGGTTTTTTGTAGGGGAGGTCATGGGTACCCAGCCAATGGAAGATGGTGTCTATGGTGCTTGCCCCCTTATGGCTACAAAATGAACTAACACATTAGCCTGTACCCCCCCCCCCCCGTGTGTTCTACAAGTTTTGTTTCAATCAGCCTGTGTCATCCCCCCCCCCCAATCCATTCTACAAGTTTTGTTTCAACAAGCCTGTTTGGTTACCCCCCCCCCCCCCCCCCCCGTGTGTTCTACAAATTTTGTTTCAATCAGCCTGTGTCCTCGTCGTTGTCCCCCCCCCCCCCGTGTGTTCTACAAGTTTTGTTTCAATCAGCCTGTGTTGTCCCCCCCCCCCCCCCCGTGTGTTCTACAAGTTTTGTTTTTTAATCAGCCTGTGTTGCCCCCCAACGTGTGTTCTACAAGTTTTGTTTCAATCAGCCTGTGTTGTCCCCCCCCCCCCCCCGTGTGTTCTACAAGTTTTGTTTCAATCAGCCTGTGTTGTCCCCCCCCCCCCGTGTGTTCTACAAGTTTTGTTTCAACCAGCCTGTTTGGTACCCCCCCCCCCCGTGTCTTCAACAAGTTTTGTTTCAACCAGCCTGTGTCTTCCCCCCCCCCCCCCGTGTGTTCTACAAGTTTTGTTTCAATCAGCCTGTGTCCCGTCTCCCCCCCCCGTGTGTTCTACAAGTTTTGTTTCAATCAGCCTGTGTTGCCCCCCCCCCCCCCGTGTGTTCTACAAGTTTTGTTTCAATCAGCCTGTGTTGCCCCCCCCCCCCCGTGTGTTCTACAAGTTTTGTTTCAATCAGCCTGTGTTGTCCCCCCCCCCCCCGTGTGTTCTACAAGTTTTGTTTCAACCAGCCTGTTTGGTACCCCCCCCCCCCCCGTGTCTTCAACAAGTTTTGTTTCAACCAGCCTGTGTCTTCCCCCCCCCCCCCCCCCCCGTGTGTTCTACAAGTTTTGTTTCAATCAGCCTGTGTCCCGTCTCCCCCCCCCCCCCCGTGTGTTCTACAAGTTTTGTTTCAATCAGCCTGTTTGGTACCCCCCCCCCCCCCCGTGTGTTCTACAAGTTTTGTTTCAATCAGCCTGTGTCCCGTCTCCCCCCCCCCCCCCCCCCCCCGTGTGTTCTACAAGTTTTGTTTCATCCAGCCTGTGTCGTCCCCCCCCCCCCCCCGTGTGTTCTACAAGTTTTGTTTCAATCAGCCTGTGTCTCGCCAATTCTCTCATTGAGCATCATCATCAATCATACAAGGGTGACAACCCGTGCTTTCTATAGAATGAAGAGTTCCTCCAAGGAGAAGCAACTCTCTTAATCAATTCTCTAGGGAGAGTCCAGTAAGAGAGAGAACCCATCTTTAATGGGCTTGTGACGGATCATGGGCTGGGGAGGCTGGCTGCTGTCACCAATTATTACACCCAAGTTCAATAACTCCATCCTCAAATTACATTCTCCATGGGAAATGAATTTTTTATAATTCAGAGGTTCTTTTCATTTGGACTATTCTGGATAAGCTATTGGTGAACTAGGTTTAACATTGGGCAAGATGGTGGACTAGGTTTAACATTGGGCAAGGTGGTGGACTAGGTTTAACATTGGGCAAGATGGTGGACTAGGTTTAACATTGGGCAAGATGGTGGACTAGGTTTAACATTGGGCAAGATGGTGGACTAGGTTTAACATTGGGCAAGATGGTGGACTAGGTTTAACTTTGGGCAAGGTGGTGGGTGGACTAGGTTTAACATTGGGCAAGATGGTGGACTAGGTTTAACATTGGGCAAGATGGTGGACTAGGTTTAACATTGGGCAAGATGGTGGACTAGGTTTAACATTGGACAAGATGGTGGACTAGGTTTAACATTGGGCAAGATGGTGGACTAGGTTTAACATTGGGCAAGATGGTGGACTAGGTTTAACATTGGGCAAGATGGTGGACTAGGTTTAACATTGGGCAAGGTGATGGACTAGGTTTAACATTGGGCAAGGTGATGGACTAGGTTTAACATTGGGCAAGGTGGTGGACTAGGTTGAACTCTAGGTAAGATGATTGTTTAGGTTAGGGAATGGTGAAGCAGCAGTAGGTCATGCTAATTTAATTTTAAAATGTCAACAATGGTTTGGGTTAGTTTCATCTAAAATGTCAACAGTGGTTTGGGATAGTTTCATCAAAGACCCCAGGTAAAAAGTGACTCACCTGTGCAGTCAAACCATCTCTGACTGGGTAGCTTGACCTTGAATATATATCACCTTTGTCTGGCAAAAACAACAAAACATTACAAAATTTAGTCAAAACTAAGGTCAAAACTATTATACAACTATAATAAGTCAGGCCAAGGTATAAAGTCAGATCCAAAGTCAAGTCCAAGGCCTTAAGTTAGGTGTCTTAAGTCAGGTATGTCTGAAGTCATATTCAATGTTTTAAGTCAGATCCAATATTAAATTGATCTAGCAATTAGTTGGAGCAAGGCCAGTTTCTGTCATCTAAAGCAAACATTTGTGAAAACTTACTAAAAAGATGTGACTTGACCAAGGGCCAGTTCATGTAAAAAGATGTGACTTGACCAAGGGTCAGTTCATGTAAAAAGATGTGACTTGACCAAGGATCAGTTCATGTAAAAAAATCTGACTTGACCAAGGGCCAGTTCATGTAAAAAGATGTGACTTGACCAAGGGCCAGTTCATGTAAAAAGATCTGACTTGACCAAGGGTCAGTTCATGTAAAAAGATCTGACTTGACCAAGGGCCAGTTCATGTAAAAAGATCTGACTTGACCAAGGGCCAGTTCATGTAAAAAGATCTGACTTGACCAAGGGCCAGTTCATGTAAAAAGATGTGACTTGACCAAGGGCCAGTTCATGTAAAAAGATGTGACTTGACCAAGGGTCAGTTCATGTAAAAAGATGTGACTTGACCAAGGGTCAGTTCATGTAAAAAGATCTGACTTGACCAAGGGCCAGTTTATGTAAAAAGATGTGACTTGACCAAGGGTCAGTTCATGTAAAAAGATGTGACTTGACCAAGGGTCAGTTCATGTAAAAAGATGTGACTTGTCCAAGGGTCAGTTCATGTAAAAAGATGTGACTTGACCAAGGGTCAGTTCATGTAAGAAGATCTGACTTGACCAAGGGCCAGTTCATGTAAAAAGATGTGACTTGACCAAGGGTCAGTTCATGTAAAAAGATGTGACTTGACCAAGGATCAGTTCATGTAAAAAAATCTGACTTGACCAAGGGCCAGTTCATGTAAAAAGATGTGACTTGACCAAGGGTCAGTTCATGTAAAAAGATGTGACTTGACCAAGGGCCAGTTCATGTAAAAAGATGTGACTTGACCAAGGGTCAGTTCATGTAAAAAGATGTGACTTGACCAAGGGTCAGTTCATGTAAAAAGATCTGACTTGACCAAGGGCCAGTTCATGTAAAAAGATGTGACTTGACCAAGGGTCAGTTTATGTAAAAAGATGTGACTTGACCAAGGGTCAGTTCATGTAAAAAGATCTGACTTGACCAAGGGCCAGTTCATGTAAAAAAATCTGACTTGACCAAGGGTCAGTTCATGTAAAAAGATGTGACTTGACCAAGGGTCAGTTCATGTAAAAAGATGTGAACTTCCCACGTTGATGACAAACGAGTGAACCAAATTTACCATCAGCGGGACCAGGACCTAAAAAATGTTCAATGCGTGGATCAGGACCGTTACCATGGTTACCATTGTATTGTGATCTGGGGTCCTCAAACTGGGGAAGAGAGAGGTCAAAGGTTAGCACCATCCAACTAGACATAATTAGATGTAGAAGCTAATGAATGTAACCGTAACTTAACTGAGTGGCAGACACACGCATGCAGGGGAGGGAACTTACTCTTCCTTCAAAGCCAGCCGGTTGGTTGCTGGTCCAAACACCACTGTCGTTCATACCTGAAATGGTCAAACATGTTTACAGTAAAATGATCACATTTTCAAACCTATTTCATGTTTACAGTAAAATGATCACATTTTCAAACCTATTTCATGTTTACAGTCAAATGATCACATTTTCAAACCTATTTCATGTTTACAGTCAACTGATCACATTTTCAAACCTATTTCATGTTTACAGTCAAATGATCACATTTTCAAACCTATTTCATGTTTACAGTCAAATGATCACATTTTCAAACCTATTTCATGTTTACAGTCAAATGATCACATTTTCAAACATGTTTACAGTCAAATGATCACATTTTCAAACATATTTACAGTCAAATGATCACATTTTCAAACCTATTTCATGTTTACAGTCAAATGATCACATTTTCAAACCTTTTTCATGTTTACAGTAAAAAGATCGAATTTTAGCATTCACTGGTTCTCCGTGCAGGCAGCAGAAAATGTTAACGCGGTCAACTATTTGGGGACAAGCTGGGGGTGGGGAGGCAAGGTTGACAGGCACAGGAGAACCAACGGACAGACGATCAAATAGACAAAATTTTGGCTGACAAATTTTGGCTGACAAATTTTGCTGGTAAAAAAACGACCCATGCAAATATCGACAGACTTGACAAAACAATTTTTTTTTTTTAAATTTTCTGTGAAAGACGTAATCTTGTACCAGTTACTTTTGTGGTAGACGCCATTTTGCTGACCTATCCCCTGATGATCGTATGCATTACATACGTGATTTGGCCCTCGCTTTGCTATCGGTTACCTAAAATAAGCCTTCAGTATTCACCAGCGAATTCAGTGTACCGTGACTCCAGGTGGAATGTCTTTTTATAGGCGGGTGTTGGTAAGACACGTATCACGTGACATCACTCAGGTCATCGGGTACAGCTTGATTAAATCTCTCGGCACACAGTAGCACACATATTGTGTGTCTCAAGACAGACTATACTGTCTCCAGCTAAAGACAGACTATACTGTCTACAGCTAAAGACAGATTATACTGCCTACAGCTAAAGACAGACTATACTGCCTACAGCTAAAGACAGTTTATACTGCCTACAGCTAAAGACAGACTATACTGCCTACAGCTAAAGACAGACTATACTGCCTACAGCTAAAGACAGACTATAATGCTTACAGTTACCCCATCTTTTGCCTATAGTTACCCCATTAGTGCCTACAGTAACCCCATTAGTGCCTACAGTTACCCCATTAGTGCCTACAGTTACCCTACATTTACCCCATTAGTGTCAACAGTTACCCTACAGTTACCCCATTAGTGCCTGCAGTTACCCCATTAGTGCCTGCAGTTACCCTACAGTTACCCCATTAGTGCCTACAGTTACCCTACATTTACCCCATTAGTGCCTGCAGTTACCCCATTAGTGCCTGCAGTTACCCTACAGTTACCCCATTAGTGCCTACAGTTACCCTACATTTACCCCATTAGTGCCTACAGTTACCCTACATTTACCCCATTAGTGCCTGCAGTTACCCCATTAGTGCCAACAGTTACCCTACGGTTACCCCATTAGTGCCTACATTTACCCTACAGTTACCCCATTAGTGCCTACATTTACCCCATTAGTGCCTACATTTACCCCATTAGTGCCAACAGTTACCCTACAGTTACCCCATTAGTGCCTACATTTACCCCATTAGTGCCAACAGTTACCCCATTACTGCCTATAGTTACCCTACCTACTGCCAACAGTTACCCTACAGTTACCGCAATTACTCCTACTCCAATGGGTTACCCAGTCAGACAACGGTTTTCCCCTCTGTCCGCTATCGACCCTCATCGCCCCGCCCTCGCCGCCCTCTCGCATCTCAGCACGCTGTGTTGGCTAGCATTGACAAGCTAAAACACGAGCAATTTATCGCGTGATTAATTAAGGCGACGAGGATTCCAACAATTACCGCACTCAAATGGCCAACCGGAAGTAGAGAACAGCGAAAGCAATCCCAGAGGACACCGAGTGAATAAATGGGGGCGCCATCTGGTTTTGGCACCGCCCAGCAGGGGAGGCCATTCTATAGAATATTGACAACATATCGGGGAAACTTTTTTCCCCTCCTTCACTCCGGGCTCCACAGAAGCTCATTAATTGGGCGGCTTTTTTTTTTCATATATAAAAAAAATTGTTTTTAACGGACACTTTTTGAGGGCCGGACAATGCTGTCAGCTTTGGCCTATTCTAAGGCTGGTAATTTTTGTAAGACAATAGGCTGGAACAACTCGGATGAAGAGAAAATGGAGGATGAAAATATCGACTGTCCTCAGGGTATCGGGTTTTCCCGGATAACACCTCGGCTGGTGTGTGGTGTATCTCACTCAGCCGTGAACTAATGGCGCTCCAATTGATGATCAACTACTGTTGGCTTACACTAAAGAAAAGACAACTCTTGCTCGGGGCGAAAACCTCTAAGGACAACTCGACTGTAGGGCCGTGTTCTCGCTCTCCCCAGTCGTCTCGGTCGTGGAGCTAGGGAACCGAGCATTACGTCACAAGACAAGTTGGAGCCACGCGTATTTTAACGTGACGTTACTAAAAGGGAATGGGGGGGGGGGGGGTCGTTTGACGACACTCTTAAGATTTTGGCTAGATTGTGCACTTGATGTCTGCCCGGAGTGTCGTTAAAATCTTGCGTGAAAATTCTTTTGCCCAAGTAGCGATTAGGTGAGGCGGCCGCTCTGTTAATCAGAGGTTCCAAACTTTTCTACCAAGTACCACCTCTTTAAATCAGAGGTTCTAAACTTTTCTACCAAGTACCACCTCTTTAAATCAGAGGTTCTAAACTTTTCTACCAAGTACCACCTCTTTAAATCAGAGGTTCTAAACTTTTCTACCAAGTACTGACTGTTGTAGAAAACCAAGCACAAAGAATATTTATTTCTTTAACACAACAGTTTTGGACAGTCTTTACAACAACCATAAGACACGTGATATTATGTGTGGATAATGTTCATGTGACGTGGATAATGTTCATGTGACGTGGATAATGTTCATGTGACGTGGATAATGTTCATGTGACGTGGATAATGTTCATGTGACGTGGATAATGTTCATGTGACGTGGATAATGTTGTGACGTGTTGAATAAAGAACATTTTAGCTAGAACACTGAAATGTTGCGGTCACCGTGATGTCCAGTGAGGGCCAGACTTACCAGACTGCTTGTAGCCGTATATACCTCCATCTGTTGGTCCGTTCTTGACCGCGCCATTCCCGGGCACGGGGGGTGAGAACATCTGTGGAGGGAGACAAACTGGTCAGTGGTCAGTGTAAACCTTCGCCTGTGCTCTGTCATCTTTATTGGACTGATCAGAACACATCGGACACCACACTTACACAGCTGGTCAAACGGTCAGCCAACGCTCAAAGTTTTCATGCAGGTGTTCAAGGGTCAACTGACACATTGACTTTTGTTACACGCGTGGCCAGATGGACACAGATGTGTACATGCGTCGTGTGTTGTAGCACGCTGCTTGGGCTCGAGACGGCTTTACTGGGTTTTTAGATAGAACAAGGAAGACACACGGTGATAGGAAGACACACGATGATAGAAGACACATGGCTTACGAAAGATGGATTAACATGAGGTTAAAGACAACTTACAGCGTTAGGAAACAAAAAGGAGCGCTCGTGGTCTGGCATGTTTGAGACGCCATAACGAGGGTCGTAATGTGAGTGTGACATGCGAGAGGCGGATCCTCCAGAGTGATAAGGCGGTACCAGGGGGCTGTGTGACGTGACTGGAGGTGGAGTAGAGTTGTCGCTGGGGTGGCCCATGGAATGTTGCGCCATCCTCATGGCCTGCAGTTGGCCCGGTGACAGCGGCGATGTGTTGTAGCCAGGATGGCCCTGGTACTGAGTCACTGCTGGGTACTGGCTCACGGCTGGATGCGAGACGTTGATCCTGGGTGGACCATTGTGTCCACAGCTAGGGGGGCTCATCTGACCGCCGCCCGGGGAGGAGTTGCTGCACGCGGGCTGGTGTGAGGGGGACTGCGGTCCCTGCTGATAGGGGTAGGCCGGGGGGAGTCCGTGCCCGCCCTGCGTGGCGTACGATCTCAGAGACGTGCCGGGCGACATCTGCACGAGCGAGGCTGTCGGGACGACGTTGGGGGGACTGCGGGGGTTGAACGCCCCACTGGCCATGAGGTAACGGGGCCTGGCAGGGTAGTGCTGGCTCCCATATTGATACGACATGGCTCTACGGCTCCAACAATCAGCTGCCAGCTGAGCCCAGCATTGTGTCACTCAAGTCTTGGAACGAATCCCTCGTGTAATCCCGTGTGTTGTTAGAGAATCCCTCGTGTAATCCCGTGTGTTGTTAGAGAATCCATCGAGTCAACTCACTGTGTTCTCGAATAAATGCCAACTTGTGTGAAATGCGGGTAGAAAAAAAGTGTACACATGGGCGCTAAATGCAACAGAATAATTATCTCACAATTAGCACGTTAAATTAATTTACCTAATCAGCCATGTAATGTTTTATAGTCCATCGGCCAGTGAAACCAAGACAAACTCGCAGCGGAACGTCTGAGGGAAACTACGTCACGCGGCACGCGACGTCACAGGTGTTTGAGACGTGGGAGACCGAGCATGTGGTCGAGGGCGATCATTTGCTCGTCATTCAGAGATCACAAGGTAGGCCCGATGACCAGTCAACTAGCTCTACACTCAAACAATGGCGGCCTGACACGCGACCACCCTAACCATGACCAGGCTGTTTACACCTGGCCACACGAGCCAGGTAAACACCCACAGGTAAACACCTACAGGTACAACACTCAGACACACCACTGGACCAGCGGGCCCCGGGGCTGGTGTTTCATCTCGGCAGGGGTGCGGATGACGTCACGTGCCGTGAATGGGGAGGGGGGTCGTCGCCTCGAGGTGCGATGACCGATACACCGACCAAAACCTAACCAGTCATTCACCAACATTACATGGGGGGGGAGGGGGGAGGGGGTAAACAAAACTATGGCAGCTAGTTTACCACTCAACTGGTGAGGTTGGACAGAGAAAGTTTATTGTGGGTTTGGGGGTGGGCGGGGTAGAGGGAGTAGTGGACCGCCCACGCCAGGAATGACCAGCGCACAATATCTACCAGCTGTCAAGATGACGCCATAACAAAAGATTGTACATCTAACAAATGGCCAGTGGCTATTTGCTTTCTACACGTGCGGCGTCAATAACCCGCCAATTCGACCACGCGATCAACACGTGATCAACAGGAGAAGGAAACAAAAGCCGTGGATAACGTGAAAACATTTCAACTCAACATGGACGTCTATGACAACCCTAATCCACAAATTGAAGATGACCAGTGGACCAGCAAATATTTAAGCTGCACCCCCCACCCCCCATCATCCGGACATACATTTGTCCTAATCGATAGAAAACATCACAAGCTACGGAATTTACTTAAGATCCCGAAATGTGCGGCTCATAATCCGTACACGGATTAACGTTAATCTTACTTTTATCTTTTCAAACAAAAAAAATTATAGGATGATGCAGTGTTCAGGGTGGAGAGCGGGAGTGGGGGGGGGGGGGGGGGGTAGCTAAGATATTTCTAAATAGTTGCAAGGGGGGGGGGGTAGCTAAAATAACTAGACTGTCGGCAAGAGATGCGTGTAGTGAACGTGAACACTGAGTCAAGTCAGTGCATATCAACGTGACAGTTTACGGGGGTCTAACGTGACACGAGTGCAACTGGGAGGTCACGTGGCCTGGGTATTTATTGTGCTGACTATGTCAGCCAGTACACAGACCCACGTCTAACCACAACAAGAGGTCACCCAGTGCTCACCAGCAGTTCGCGAGTTGGTTTAGCCCTCCGGTAAGTGCAGCAAAACATCTTTTCACAAAACCCGCCATCAAACGGGCGCGGGTGCCGGAAACCAGGGCGTGCTTTCTACTCCCGCCCATTAAAGACTATCAAAACACAAGTGGGCTAAGGTAAAATTGATCGGTTAATATACTTGAATTACTTAACTCTCCACTCATACATGTCAACATGGGCAAGCAAACTCGAGAGATCAAGTTCATATCGTGAGCCGTCGAGCGAGGGCTGTATGGTGAGGGCCTTATAACCAGTTGATAGACCTTTAGGACGTCAGGTGAGATTGGTATATCAAGCATAAATGTACGTATGTCGCCACCACACTCAACCCTGCTCAAAGTGGTTCGAGCTGTTCAACAATAAATTTTGCCCAGTTTTTGTCCATTCTTGAAATAAAAATTAACTGTAAAACTATCAATGGTGAACGCCCAACATTTTGTTTTACGAGCGGACGACTCGTGCGGTCGAGGGCGTGAAACGTCTCCCCTCACCGGGGCAATAAATCCCCAGCCCAACCATTTGATCGGGCGAGAAACAAATAAAAACATTTTTGGACAATAAAACTAGAGCGGGTGGGAAGTGGTTGGTGTAAATCTTGGCCATCTCTACCTGTCAGGTGACATATTTTTTAACTGGTAGGCGTGCACACAATTTTATTGCGTCGTCTGCATCTATTTTTATATGTCACATAATTCTTACATTATAAGTCACCACACACCATCCACCAGTGGTCACAATCACACACCATCCACCAGTGGTCACCATCACACACCATCCACCAGTGGTCACCACCACACACCATCCACCAGTGGTCCCCACCACACACCATCCAGTGGTCATCATCACACACCATCCACCAGTGGTCACCACACACCATCCACCAGTGGTCACCACCACACACCATCCACCAGTGGTCACCACCACACACCATCCACCAGTGGTCACCACCACACACCATCCACCAGTGGTCACCACCACACACCATCCACCAGTGGTCACCACCACACACCATCCACCAGTGGTCACCACCACACACCATCCACCAGTGGTCACCACCACACACCATCAACCAGTGGTCACCACACACCATCCACTAGTGGTCACCACACACCATCCACCAGTGGTCACCACACACCATCCACTAGTGGTCACCACACACCATCCACCAGTGGTCACCACACACCATCCACTAGTGGTCACCACACACCATCCACCAGTGGTCACCACACACCATCCACTAGTGGTCACCACACACCATCCAGCAGTGGTCACCATCACACACCATCCACCAGTGGTCACCACCACACACCATCCACCAATGGTCACCACCACACACCATCCACTAGTGGTCACCACACACCATCCAGCAGTGGTCACCATCACACACCATCCACCAGTGGTCACCACCACACACCATCCACCAGTGGTCACCACCACACACCATCCACCAGTGGTCACCACCACACACCATCCACCAGTGGTCACCACACACCATCCACCAGTGGTCACCACCACACACCATCCACCAGTGGTCACCACACACCATCCACCAGTGGTCACCACCACACACCATCCACCAGTGGTCACCACACACCATCCACCAGTGGTCACCACACACCATCCACCAGTGGTCACCACACACCATACACCAATGGTCACAACGAAACAATCGGATGTCGTCGGGTATGAAAACATTGTTGACGTGCAATATACCAATAGTCCGCCGGGTGGCATATAGATCATCGAATGACATACGGACCGTCGGATGACATATGGAGCGTCGGATGACATACGGACCGTCGGATGACATATAGACCGTCGGATGACATATAGACCGGCAGGATGACGTATAGGCCGACTGATGACACCTTAAGTTGTATCCAGGTAAAACCGGTTAGGTGAAAAAATCTTTTGAAGTAAAAATAAAGTTAAAACTTGTTTTATATCGCTGGAAAACACACGATCACACCACCACACACCAACTACCACAAGTTACCACACACCAACTACCACAAGTTACCACACACCAACTACCACAAGTTACCACACACCAACTACCACAAGTTACCACACACCAACTACCACAAGTTACCACACACCAACTACCATTTTACCAAACACCACCACATGACCACACACCACTACACAGCACCACACGATCCCACTCAGCACCACAAGACAAAACACAACCACACGTCGCAACCCGCTACCAGACAAAACACAACCACACGTCGCAACCCGCTACCAGACAAAACACAACCACACGTCGCAACCCGCTACCAGCCCGCTGGTGACCCCAGAGATAAGGCAAGACATTTTTCACACCTTGGTAGGCCCAGGTGTGCACCCCCCCCCCCCCCCCCCGGCCCATTCAACAACCGGCCAATGTTTGCCTACAGTCAAGGGAGCGAATGGGAAAAAAATTTGAAACTGTCGCTACATAAGCAGGTCACCGGTGAGAACGTCAGATGTGGGTCAGGTGTACCCAAGTTAACTGGTCAGTTAACTGGTCAGTTGACTGCCCAGGTGTACCCAAGTTAACTGGTCAGTTGACTGCCCAGGTGTACCCAAGTTAACTGGTCAGTTGACTGCCCAGGTGTACACAACGAGGATATCCCGAGTATTACGTGGGACACAAGTTGGACATACAGACGGACACGACACACAGACGGACGGACACGGCACACAGACGGACGGACACAGCACACAGACGGACGGACACGGCACACAGACGGACGGACACGGCACACCGTCAGACGGACACGACACACCGTCAGACGGACACGACACACACACGGACGGACACGACACACACACGGACGGACACGACACACACACGGACGGACACGACACACCGTCAGACGGACACGACACAGACGGACACACGGGACCGAGATGTTTCCCATTCAGCAAATCGCTCCACACTGACGTTGAATCCCCCCCCCCCCCCCCCGCCACCAAGCCCTGAGTTTGTGGGTTTTCCCCAACAGAAAAACAAACCGAGACGCCTCTGGACAAACTAGCGAGGACAAGTCGAGGGTGTCAGCCAGGGCCAGCTTGCGAGGGCTGAGACAGCTTGATAAACACGAGAGCTAAGACCCAAGGTGTGTGAGCTCAAAGTGGAGCTAAGATCATGGGACTTGTGATAAAATACTAAAGTTAAGCTCCATCATGAGAGCTCAAGTATCCAGAGGCCCCTTTAAGTATTACAGCGGTTTTTTTCTGGATACAACACACCTGGTGAACACACTAATTAACTGACCACTCACATTAACTGACCACTCGCATTAACTGACCACTCGCATTAACTGACCACTCGCATTAACTGACCAATCGCATTAACTGACCACTCACATTAACTGACCACTCGCATTAACTGACCACTCGCATTAACTGACCACTCATGTGACTTAATTGACAAACAGCTATGAACTACCAATCCAACACACGGCTTAAATGACCACTTTATCCCATGGTTTAGATGAACAGATCACATGACGTAACTGACCAATACGTTTAGCCGACTAACGGAACAAATTCTTTGACACACCAATAGAACACAGTGTAGCTGACCAACTCATGACCATAAGATCACACTTTCTAACTGACCAGGATAACACAAGCTTGAACAGACAACTAGAACATCCAACAGTAGTCCAGAGAACAGCAACAAGTAAATACGCCTGTCTAACAGGGCTGTATAAAACAGCAACAAGTAAATACGCCTAACAGGGCTGTATAAAACAGACCTAGTGAAGAGAAACTTTTCACACACCACCTTCCAATGTTTTACTATCCCCCCACCCTTCCCCGTTTCTTCCAATCAAATGCTCTGGTTTACTTTTCGACAAATTAAAAACCGACAAACTGACGAGTGCCAAATAAACTCTCGAGTCTGCGTGCTGTGGGAGACC